TTCACTTGTGTTCTTGTGAGTTCCATCTCCCTGATCACCTCTTGTGTATTTAAGCCTTTAGTTTCCTTCACTCCCTTGTTGTGATCTCCCCTCATGTTGTGTGTTCTCCCTTCTCTCTCTCAGTGTTAGTTTTCAGTCTGTTTGCTCCTGTTTTACTCATCTGTATGTGTTAAGTTTGCCATTTACTAGCTAATAACGCTGTGTTTTGAGTTCAAGTCTTTCTGCATTGGGAATCCACACTCTTCCTAACACACAAATGTGTCCTGACAACATATTTTAAACAAAGAATGAGACGAGTGATTCCAGATAGTTTAGAAACTTTGAAATGACTTTTATTTTAATTAAAAAGTAGACCTTCTAATAGGTGACTTGGGCAGACTGTAGATCCATGTACGTCATTCATTGACACTGTGGCTAAAGGATCAAACTGATATCACGGCAAAACGTGTAACAGACACGTCGGTCGACAGAGTCCATCGCACGCTTTACCTCTTCAACAAATGAAATGGACATGAATGCAGAAGTTGCATTACCAGCAGGGGGAGTAATATACGCAAAGCCATGAAGTCGGTAGTGAGGACAAAGTACATTCGTCCTTTATCATCAGAAACAGTTAAGCTAGGTGGCTAATATGTATATACATGTAAATGTGTTAATAACATTTATTTAAAGGCTTTCTGATGATTATTTTCATGTTGGCTTGAAATAAATCTCCCTCTGCTGTTACTGCAACTTCTGCATGTGTGTCCATTTCATGTTTTGTAAGGGGCAAAGTGTAAAATGTACATGGTGGACCAGCGTGTCTATTACATGTTTTGACACAATCCCGGGTTAAAAGATGGAAGCAATGGGAGAAAAATAACAGGTATGCTCATGCAGTCATTCAGCTTCACAGGAGTTCATGTCTGAAAACTGGTTATTGTGTCTGAGTGTAGAGTAGGTCTGGTCGTGATCTCTGCTCGCTGTATTGAGACTTTGGTAGGTCGAGTCTTCACATGAGGAGACTGGACGATCGATTTCACTGAGACCAATCTGGGAAAA